ATCCAAGACGGAGTAGAGGACCAGAAAAGGAGACAAAGCGAGAGTGCCAAGATGAGACATGGCTCGGAAAGTGGGTGTGACAGATGGTGTTTGGAGCTTGACGCAAGTGGGCGATGTGATGAGGCAGGCGCAAGCGAGCGAGGGAGCGAGCGAGCGGGAGAATGAGGGAGGGATGAGAGGACGTAAAGAGAGTGAGGTTGCACCGCTTTGGAGCACGGGAAAAGGCATAAGGAGAAAGGGCAGCAGAATATCTGTTCTTTTGATACCGAGAGTCAAGTCGAGCGTCCTTCAGCGCCAGGCCTGGCCCTGGTTCTGCGGGTCCTCTTCTGCTTCTGCTTGACTGTAAAGACCTTCACGAGCACTCTCCGCCGAATGCCAGCTCATATTCGCCGCATCGTCCGACGATTCCGTCCGAGCTCGATGGCGCGGCGGACGTGCAGGAGCCTCGGAGCCAGCAATGCCAGTAGCGGCGTCAGCCTCAGCAATGGTCCTGGCAGTCTGCTCCTCCGCAAGGGGAGGAGCGGCCTGAACTGCGCGAACAGAAGCGGATGCAGAGCCGGAGGACCCCTGTCCTTGTCCTTTCTTGAGAGTGCCAACAGAGCTGAAAGAGGCATCGTCGTTCTCCAGGCTCGTGCTTGGTGCCACGTCTTCTTCGGCGAAACGATTGTGCCACCGGTCGACGGGTCGAGGCGGTGAGTAGACGACGTTGCTTCTTCCTGTCGCAGTGCCGTCTCGGGGCTCGGAACCTCCTCTACGATCGACGGCGGCGACATCCTCGACCAATGCAAAGGTGCTCCTAGCAGCACTCCTCCTCCTCTCTTCTTCCTCTTCTTCATCCTCATCATACTGATACCCCTCCTCGTCGTCAGAGTAGCTGCGTTCACTTTCTCCATACGGGTAGAAGCTCGAAGTGGCCCCGCTAGCCCGCTGGATGTGGATCTCGGGAACGGGCGTCTGGTTCCAGGCGGCACGTTGCTCGCCGTGTGAAGCGGTCGCTTGGTGGCGCGCAGCACCAAAAGCTTCGCGTCCGAGAGCTTCGGGAGTCTTGCTTCGACGATGCTGACGAGGTGAAGAGGTCTGAGAGTCGTTGCCAATCATGTCCGGATCGTAGTAGGACATTTGCGTACCCCGACCATCACCCCAGAGGTTGCCGTCGCGGATGGTCAGGTTTGGGCTCTGACCCGGCTGAGCTCTGCCTACACCGTCTGGACGCGGGGTGCTGTGCGGGTCATGAGGCGAGCCTTGTGGGAATGATTGATCACCAGAGTTCGTCTCCTCGTAGGTATCATGACCAGTCTGCAGATGCGTCATGCTTGCATCGGATCGTTCCTTGAGTCCCAGTCGCTTTTTGAGATCACCTTTGATCCACGCTTCCCGCACCAAGTCTACCTCTGTTGGCATGAACCACACCCTCCACGCCTTTGCATAGAAGCGTGGCAGCAGTGAGAGGACAATGATGAGCAGAATCTGCGCCCAAAAGGTGACGGTGCTCATGAGCCAGAAGGCAGTGTCCTGGTATGGCGTCCCGGGGAATGCACTGTAGAGAAGCGCCCAAGCAAAGTACGAGATGGAGGAGATGAACTGCACGACCCAGACGATTACCGACCAGTACGACGACGAGAGACCAACGTAGAGATTGGCAGAGACGACTGCGCCTGCTCCGACGGTGGTGCCAAACATCCACAAGCCGTCCATCTCATGACCGTCGGCGTTGACGACGGGAAAGAACTTCCAGGAGGCATAGGTGACAAAGAAGCAGACGACCGACTGGTAGATGCCGTCCGCGATTGCAATCCAGAAGAGGGTGCGGGTGTAGTCGAGACCTTTGATGCCGCGGGTGTACGTCTGAGGGAATGCCATCAGTGCCTTGGCATTGCAGTCTTGATCGAGGGCACCAAGGACGACAACAGGCAGCGAGGTGAAGACCAGATTGAAGAGAAGAATGTAGCTGTAGTCGTAGATGTACGTAGCGTTAAAGTCGCAAAAGATCTGGTACCAAAACGTGGTAAAAGTCCAGATGACGTTCTTGAAGAAGAAGCTCTTCTGCAGATCCGCAATGCGACGGTAGGACCAATGGCCGTGTACAATGAGTAGCTTGGTGAGGAAGCGAAATTGTCCAATAGCATAGTCGGCTGACATGCTAGCCTGGGCTCCTTCCAAGCCGGCGATGCCTACTCCGATGTGCGCTTCCTGGATCATCGACACGTCGTTGGCACCGTCACCGATGGCAAGCGTCATCGCGTCTTTCCCGTCCTTGACGAGCTTGACCGTAAGCGCCTTCTGTGCCGGGCTGACTCTGCAGCAGATGACAGTCTCACACTGAGTAGTCAGAGCGAGGAAGAGAGGCTTCAGTGCCGGGTCCAACGCATATCTCAATCCATCACCGTCAATGACGACGCCAAACGTCGTCTTGCTAGCGTCGCCGGCACTGTTGACAGCTGCATCAGGATTAGGCTGGAAGCCCAGGCCGGGTTGCTTCTTCTTGAAGAGGCCCTTTGCTGCACCCTCGATGAGGACGGGACGTCCAGCAGCGGCAATCTTGTTGCAAGCCGCCTCCAGCTGAGCTCTAATACCGGCTTCGTGATCAGCAGAGATGATCATGACCTCGGTGTCCGAGTTGAGCAGATTGCAGGAGAAGCCAATCTCAATAGCCGTTTGCATCTTGTCGCCGGTGAGCACCCAGAGCTTGATGCCTGCTTCGTGAAGTTGGGCAATAGCTTCGGGTACTCCCTCCTGCAGCTTGTCCTCCAGAGCAGTAGCTCCTAGCAAGGTGAGACTGTGCTCGATGAGCTCACTTGCGTCGTCCATCTTGTCTTCCCGGTCAACAGTAGCAGCAGCAGCCTCTGCATACTTTTGAGCCCACTGTGCATACTCGTGTTCCTCGAGATACCGGTAGGCGATGCAGAGGGTCCTCAATCCAGAATTGGCATACTCTTCGAGGTGGTTCTGAGTGTCCTCTCGTAGCTTTTGCGGATGATCCGATCGCAGACGCTGGTAGATGACCGAATCAGCTCCTTTGGCCAGCAAAAGAATTCTGCCTTCGGGTTCACGCACGATTACGCTCATCCTTTTCCTGGTTGAGTTGAATTCGAGGATATTGAGTGGGGTGTATCGCTCCGGCTGACCCATGACCTCAATGTCGACTTGTTGGGTCGTCTTGTTGAGGAAGACTGCTCCGACGTCTCTAGCGGCTGCGACGAGGGCTGACTCGTCGGGCGACTCTGCCTTGTATTCGAGAGTATAAGGGTCTGTGCCATCGGGCCGGTCAGTCAGTGCGGTGTGGCATAGCGCCAGAGCCCTAAAGAAGGCAATGACATTGCGACGTTGCTCATCGGCAGCAGATGCAGGGGCTAGGTCTTCGGCAAGCTGAGGTGAAATGAGGGTGAGCTTGTCCTCCCGAAGGTACCGACTCTGATAGCTCCTCGTCATGGTCTGTACCATCCGCTGCTTGCTCTTCTCCAGCTGCGCCATCTGCGTCTCTGCAGAGAAGCCAGACACGTCTTTGCCTTCCCTCTTCATGGCACCGATCTGAGCTTCTGTAACTCCCTCTCCGTACGAGACTCCATTGATGGAGCACTTCTTGAACTCCATGATGTTCTGAGTCAAGGTACCAGTCTTGTCGGAGAAGATGTACTCAATCTGACCGAGGTCATCAGAAAGACTAAACGACTTGACCAAGCAAGGCTGGTCGAGAGGAGCATAGTACATGTCTGCATCCTGGTAGATGAAGTAAGCTTGAATCGATTTGACCAGCTCGATGGAAATGTAGAGGGAGATTGGCACGATGTTCTGAAAGAGGATGAGGCATGATCCGAAGATGATAAGGGCATTGACGACGTTGGAGCTCGAGTCGAGGACACCGGGCTCAAAGAATGCCATGCTCGTGTCTGGAGCGCCAAGACGAAGGCCACCGACAATGGCACAGATGGAGCACAGTGCGAGCAAGAGGACAAAGTTGGCGACGACGTTCCAATTCGTCTCCTTTTCAATCTTGCTGCGCTTCGAAGGAGTCTCACCCGAGTTGAGCATGATCTTGGTATCAGACCCGGTGAAGGCGACTATACCGATGACCCAGTCTGTATTTCTGACGGCACAGCCTCTCAAGAGCAGCTCATTGATACCAATGGGCTCCACTATCTGCTTCGATTGAGCCTGCGCAGCAGCATAGGCGCTCGAGTCGACCGGAGCTGACTTCTCCTCGTCGGTCGCAGAGCTAGTAGAGTACTTGAGCACAGCGTTGAAGGCGTAGAGATTGGCATGCGGAGGCTCGACGTCAATTACGAATTGTGAAGCTTCTACGTCTTCTTCCGATTGAAGTCCACGAGTAGCCTTGACACTTCTCCTTGGCTTGAGGTTCGTCTCTCCATCGAGGTTCTTCGTCTCGACAAAGACGATACCGTCCTCCCCGGATGAGTTGAGGACGATGATATCAGCAGGTACCTGTTCATCCTCTCGCAGCAACACGATGTCTCCCACCTCGAGCTTCTTCCAGAGGGTCCTCTCCCATTTTGCTGTTCCAGCAATGTTCCTACGATAGTCGATTACGCCAGACGAAGGCCCATTCTGTTGGTATGGGGCTCCTGGCCCATTTCTGTTGCTTGTTTGGCTTTCCAAGCGACCGAGAATGGGTCTTTGACCGCTCCCCTCTTGACCGGCGACAGACTGAGACCATGTCGAATTGGAGACATCAGCATACTCCTGTTCAGCTCTGTCCGTCTCCGAAGCTATCGTGTCAAGGCCCCATCTCTCGCCTTCGCCTCCAGGCCCCGTAGTGATAGTCTCGGTCCTTGCAGCCTCACTCCCTCCGATGAAGGCATTCCCCCGACTGGCCATCGAGGCTGAATCCTGTTTCATGGCGCTCAAACCGATTGCATCTTCCTTCTCCCTGAGCTTCCTCACTCCCTTAGAGACCTTGGCGTCTCCTCGACCAGTGAGACCAAAGAGCTTCTCAAACCATGTCCGCGGGTCCTTTGGCTGATTTACATTCCTCCAATTTCCCAGCTTGGTGACTGCAGAGTTGTTGACATCGTTGTCGATCACATGTCGGCGATGGTCTTCGATACCGTCCTTGATTGCCGTCAGCCCGAGGATGAGGACCAGTGGCAGCATGGCTATTTGCGGTATCGTAGCTCCAAAGGTGCTTGGGATCGATATCACCACAAGCCCCAGGAAATAGATATTGGCGACGCGGCGAAATTGCTCAAAGAGGAATTTGGGCAAGAAGGTGATGACGTTGTACTTTGATGTACAGACTCGATTCCGGGGATACCGTGCGAGCGGCTCTCCCTTCCGATCGCTCTCCTGGAGGGGCAAAGGAAGGTTCAGGTAGACGTTGCGCCGCTGAGGAGCTGCCTTGCCCTTCCTACCGAAGGGCTTTGTGGGGCCGGCTGGCTGCCCTTCCTTTGTGATTCGCAACTCTTCTTGAGCTTCTGCAACAGCAGCGCTCGAGGAGCCTGCGACCGGTGTGAGAGGGGTATGATCCTGCTGAGCCGACTCAAAGGGTACACCGATTCCTTCACCACCAGTGCCGGATGCTCCGTAGTCTCGCTTGCGCTCTTCTTGTATTAGAGCTGTGAGGCCTCCCACCTTCTCCTCCTTCTTCCGGAAGGTCCTGCCTCTACCGAGCCTGCCAAGCAGGGCAGCCTTGCGTTCCTTTCGCCGCTCATCTCTTCTGGCATCAGAGCGATGAGACTCGGCAATAGAGGCGGCAGCGGTCCGTACGGTCCTGAGCTGAAGGGCTGGGTCGATGGTAGGGTCATAGTCTGGATGAGTCGGATCTGATATATATGAAGAGTAGGCAGGTCCTTCATCGTAAGGAGCTGTGATGTTTGGGTCGTAATTATGAGACGACACGTCAGATGGTTGCCTTGAGCCACGTCGTGTTGAGCGGAAGTCCATGGCGAGAGGATGTGACTGAGCCTAGAGGCCTGAGGTACAAGACTGGTCGAATAGGAGCAACGCCGCCGATGCGACAGATGACAGTACTTGCGAAGTTTGGTCGACGAGAGCAATGTAGAGAGCTGGAGCTAGGTGTTGCTATGCGCAAGATGGTGACGCAGTGTTCGTTCAAGTAGGGCTCAGGCAAGTAGCGAGCGAGGGTGATTTCGAGATACGGAGCGGAAGCGCGTTCAGCGAGACAGGCGAAAGAGAGCGTCTAGGTCGTTATAAGTTAGCGAATATCTTGACGTCGTTCCTGATGTTGAAAGAGGGGCAGGAGGAAGACGACAGGGGGCCAAGGGCGCAAGGAAGGGGGAGAGGGGGAGGTTGCTATTTCTTCGACTTTGAGGAGCGAGGGGTGGATTGCGGCAGGCCAGTGCCGGGACCTCGTCAGTGCTTGGCGATGGAGAGACAGAGGGCGAGGATGGAGACGGAAGCAAGGAAGGTGGTCGGGGCACAGGGTGCAATGTTGTTGCTGCCTCTTACGAGGGTCCAGCGTCGTGGGCGTGAGAGAGATGAACGGACGATGCCTGTGGTCCGAGGGATGGCAGGGACACGATGGGAGCTGCCATTGTCTCCCTCTCTCCTGTCTCTCCTGGTCAGGAGCCGAGGTCTGGGCGGAGGTAGGGGCGAGGCAGGCGGCACAGCATGGCACGGCCAAGGAGCAGGTGTTGGACCCGCGTCGACACTGGTCCAGTGCCCGCCAGACACGGACCCCCGGTCGCGACTGCCGCCCACCTCGCCTCGGAAATTTCTTCAGACGCGCATCTTCGCGTTCACCCACCGGCACCCACACACACCCAACACCTCACCTCCCAGCGGCCATGTGCAGCAGACTGCATCGGACTCATTCCTCCGAAGATGACCAGGCAAGAACAAACAAGATGGCACCGACTGAAGCACCGTCAGCACGGAGCGTAGACACCTGATGCGCGCATCGAGCAATATTCAAAGGCACTCGCAGACTAACAAAGAGGGTGGTAGGTGACATTGTGTGTTGCATACTCAGTGACGATGACGCCTCCCTTGCTTCCATCTAGTATCCATGAGCGTGCAGATGCTGGCACAGCGCAATCCAAAACCGCTCCAGCTCCTCCTGTTCACTACGTTCCTTCTTCTTCCTCTTCTCTTCTTCCGTCTGAATCGAGCCTTGGCCCTTTCCAGCAGATCCCTCTGCCGCCTCCATCTCCCGCCGCTTCTTGTTCTGCATCAGCGCAGAGTCTGGCCCTGGTCCAATGTCCACTCCCTTGCGCTTTTGCTCACCACCAGCACTGCGACACCGGGCATTGTACTCATCTCGGTGCCATTCGATCTCCCTGCGCAGTTCGCGCGCATTGTCCATCTGACCGGTAGACTCCAGCCAGTCAGCCTCGCGACGTAGCTTGAGCATTTGCCTCTGTTCCGTCGTCACTGCAGCCAACGATGCTGTCGCGTTCCAGCCGCTAGTGGAGTTGGGTAGAGTCTCGACAGCTGCCTGTCCGTCAGCAGATGATGATGACGAAGCGGACGATATAGCGTCTTGAGTCGGCTGAGAAGCCAAGGTCACCATGTCCGAGTCAGGAACGCTACCATCGAGCTGACCGTGACCGCTAATACCAGATTGCTGCAGGCGTGCAGCCTCGTCTGCTAACTTGCGACGCTCCTCCGAACCTTGAGGAAGGCGATCAGAGATCCAAGAAGCCACTTCGTTGGCCAGTCCAGACTCATTGCCGCCGTTGGTAGCCAACTTGTCTGACGATGCTGGTGACGGTGAGGTAGAAGCAGCCCCATCTGGACCGGACAGCGTAGCATAATTGTCCAGGAACGCCTTGGCGCTCTCCGTAGCATCGGCAATCAGCACCGAGGCATCCTTGGAATCGCTCGTCTTGACAGCGGCGGGGTCTTTCACCTTGACATCTTCCGCAGGCTGCTTGCCATTCTTGCCAGATGATCTCGATCCAAGCAAGCTTCCCAGCATCCGGTTGATCATCAACCAGCCGTCATCACTCTTTTCTTTACTAGGAGTCTTCGGCGCTTGCCGCTCTGCAGCCTCCTTCTCAAAAGTGGCCTGCTTGCTCGCAGCCGCTGCATTCTTGAATGGCTTGCCCGTAGCTGGATTGATCTTGCCACTCGAGCCCCATCGTGGAGCGCCAGAGCCTCTGAGGTCCCAGTGATCCTTTTCCTCTACGACCCCTAGGAACTGACCCCACTTCGCAGAGGGAACCGACACCAGCCCATCATTGCCTTGCTCGTCTGGCTTGCCTAGCGCAGCCGCCGAACCGTCCCTCTCTGCTCCTGCCGTCCGACTCTCAGCTGCTGCATTGAGAATGACCTTTGGCAGCCACAAGGGATGCCACAGCGGCATCTTCGGAATGCGTGCTGCGATGGAGAAGTATGAGACATCTGGAGAGTCTGGCGTCGAGGGATTGAAGACCTTGGCCATATAGCGTGTGGAGAGCATTGCATAAGCCGGCTGATCAAAGACAGATAGCATATAAGACGAAAAGAATCCCCCGAAGGAGGAGAGCGCTCTTGTCAGAGGGGAAACGAACCCGAGCGACTTAAGGGACTTGAGAGTAGAGGAGGAAGATAGATCAACCTTTGTGTTGTCTGGGGTCAGCTTGTCGATCACGGTCTCAGCAGCATCGATGATCTGCTCCTTGACACCATCTTCCTCCGAAACCGGTGACGATGACCTCTTCGAAGCCTCCTCCTTCTTCGCTTGCTTCATCTCTTCGACTGCCTTCTTGCTGACCTCCGCGTCTTTGGCTTGATCCTTGTCCCCATTGCCATTCTTTTTTGGTCTGACGAAGAGTGGAGTCTTGAGGCTGTATGGATGCTTCTCATGGCCCGGCGGATCTCCCTTCGGACCGTCTCGCATCTTGACCCCACCCTCCATATTGCCCTGCTTCTCCTCATATTCTCGAATCGCCTCCTCTACGTACTCATTGCCGATGCCCACGTTGGCGTTGCACCAGTCCATAAAGGGCGATCCTCGATGAGGAGTCGAGATGGTAGTGACCGAGACCGGCACATATTCCTCTGGCTTTGGCTTGATGTGACTGACTAGATAGCGTGCGTCCAGTCCGCCCATGGAATGGCCGACGAAATTGAGCTTGGCGCCTTTCACATCTGCTTCGTCGGAGCAGAGATAATCGTGCAGAGCCTTTGCCCTAGAGGGAATCGAGCCTGTACCAGGCACGCCGCGGACAATGACCTCTGCCCCGATCTTGTTCCGCAGAATATCCAAAGCGGCGGCCCAGTAGTGGATCTCGAGCCCTAGGAAGGGACCTCGAACATCGAACCCATAAAGACCATGACAGAGGACAATTGGATTGCGAGGGGCTCTGATGTTCTCGAAAAGAGCCGGATGGCGCATCAGCGCATTGATGTCGTTGGTAGGCGAGTCCAAGTACGACGAGACCTGATCAAGAGGTGGTGTGGTCGTCGAGGAGTCAGACGAGGCTGTCGCCTTCTCATTGTGAGCTCTTAAGTCCGCTTGGAGTGGTCGGTTCATCTCCTCTGGCGGGAGCTTCGATGGATTCGCCGGGATCGCATGGCTCTGTTGCTCTTGCCTCGAAGCGGAAGAGCTGATTGAGCGATGCCAGTTCTTGAGAAGATCATAGGTAGCTTGGCAAGGCGTAGCAAAAGTGACGGGTGGTGAGTCGAAGTTCGAGGGAGCAGGTTTGGAGATTGAGGTGGAGAAGGAGGCGGCGTTGTGATGGTGGGAAGAAGGCGGGGTAGCTTCGGGACGATTGCTGCGAGGCCGCCGTGTAGCGTTGAAGGCGCTACTGCGAGCGTGAACCCCGCGCCTGACCGCGGTTCTGGGCCGTGCAAGCACATCGCCTCGCAGCTCTTGAGCTTTGGATTTCGGATGAAGTTGATGCTGCTGCTGCTGATGCTGTGGCCTGTGCTGATATGTTGGAGATGGATGCGCATGCGGGGGTATGGATGAGGTCCAGGGGAGCAAAGAGAGCGGAAGCAGCGAAGGAGAGCACGTTGCAGCTTCCAGCCCGCAAATTCTTGGGAGCGGCAGTACGATGTTCGAGGCCATGTGTTATGGGTGATCCAGTCAGAGGGAGTGTCTATATATCACGACATACAGTCGAAGGGCTGGTGGAGGATGGGGGAATGCTTGATTCGGTGGTTTGCTCGATGTGCGGATGGACCTTGTGTGCGGGGGCAATGTAAAGACAGGGACAAATGAGGGTGCGAGGGGTTTCGGCCTAGACCAAGCTAGACGAATCCCGACAGCGAGCTTTGGTGGAGGGATCACGCGCTAGCTCGAGCTCCGTTCTACGGGTGACTATGCTACGACGTCTCTAGGCTCTAGATGCAGTGGCGGTGCTGGATGGAGTGTGGGGTCGTATGCGGAAGACACAGAGGCGAGGGTACCGACACTCAAAACACGCGGGCGGAGGCAGAGCGGGTGATGGAATCGATGATGTGGAGGAGGACCCGCCAGTCCGCTTCCCGTGTGCCATGGTCCCCAACGCCCACCTACCCAACCTGCCGTGCTGCTGGCATAAGACCTACCATCCTCTTCGATCTCGATTTCGAATATGGCCTGGCGCTGCTCTGGCAAGACCAATGGAGAGCTCATTAGCAATTTACGGCGGGAGGGGCTCATATCGAGTGGTCGAGTGGCAGAGGCAATGAAGCAGGTTGATAGGGCAAAGTATTGTCCGGATAAGCGAGGGGCCTATCAGGACTCGCCCCAGCCAATAGGATACTCTGCTACTATTTCTGCGCCTCACAGTCAGTATGTGAAGGCCTTTGGTCATGCTGAGACGTCTTGTGTTGACTGGTGACCCTCTCCCTTTCAGTGCATGCGCATAGTGCCGAGGAGCTGCTCCCCTACCTCACAGCCGACTCGTCGGTGCTTGACATCGGATCGGGCTCCGGATACCTTCTCGCTGTGTTCCATCACCTCGTAAAGCCATTGCCAGGAGAAGAGGACAAGGTCAGCACTCAAAGACAGGGCAGCAGAGTCATTGGAATAGAACACATCAGTGAGCTCGTAGAGCAAAGTAAGGACAATCTCAAGGATGATGGGTTGGGTGATGCGATGGAGAGGGGCCAGATCGAGGTCGTGAAGGGAGATGGACGTCTGGGTAAGATCGACGACTGCAAAACGAGGTCCAGGTCTTCTGACCGGCGCTGAATAGTCTCTGTCTCCCCTGTCATGAACAGGCTGGCCCCTTCGACAGCCATACAACGCAATCCACGTCGGCGCCGCATCCCCACCCAGCGTTCTGGCGACTCTGGAAGCGCAGCTCGCCAAACCCGGACGGCTGTTCATACCTGTGGAGGACCCAGAGACACGAGAGCAGTAAGTCGCTCACTTCAACGATTGCAGACCCGCAGGAAAGTGGCTGATAATCTGGGCCTGACCGAACCCCCCTCCATCGCAGAGACATCTGGCACATCGACAAGGATGCTCAGGGTAATGTCACCAGAAAGAAGATGTATGGCGTACGCTATGTCCCTCTGACCGACGAAGCCAGGCAATACGGCTTCTGATGCAACTCTTTCTTTATTCCTTTTCCGGCCGAATTTGTTGTACATTGTATTGGAATTTCATTGCTCGGCCATCATACCTTCCGCTTCCATAACATGACAGCCTCGATGCCTTTGCGACTCTCTGGTTGTCCGGGCGGTACGCCTTGGTACTGCAAATCAAAGTGTGGCAGGAGGTGCTCTCTGTAGAGCTCCGGAGACACCGAGTACTGCAACAACGAGACGTTTCAGTGGCTGTCCGTTCTTTCTACGCGCTCCTTTCCTATGCTGACTACTCACTGGTGGTCCACCTGGACGATCACCTTGCATTGGGAAGCATAAAGTGATCAGCATCCCCTCGCCGGCCTTCAAATTATTGGCATGAGCCTTAGCCCACTTTGCTCTCAGGGAAGGCGGTAGAGCACAAAAGAATGTGTAGTCATAGATGAGGTCGTACTGCGACTCGGCTTCTATCCTCGCATCGGCCAAGGCCAGATAATCCATACTCTCAAGGTGTATCCGATCATAGCGCTCGGGGCGTGGAGATAGTGAATCCACCCAGGCCTGGGCAGCTTGCGTCGCCTCAGGAGCTATATCGGCTCCTCTAGCCTCTTTGAATCCCAAGCGAGCAAAGTATTCGACATCGTATCCGGTCCCACAGCCAGGGATGAGAACCCTCTTCCGCTGGCTGTCCTGTCTGAGAGCCTTGCCCTCTTCGACGTCCTCCATGAAGCTGACAAGACTAGGCTGTGGGATACCACCTGAGTCCCATGGCGTCTGCTTTGCGGTCCATGCTGCAGACCACCTGGACTGATCAAGCCCGTCACCCATTATTGAGCGCAGCCGCTGCACACCTGCCTGCTTTGCCTCCTCCGCCGTTTGCTGTGGTGCGACCGTGGAGCCCATGTTGCGGATGCACCCTGGTGATAGCGTAGTGTGCGGCGTTCTCAGCCTGCTGCAGGGCGATGTGAGTGATTGTCGGCGAAGGAATCGGAGCGGCACTGTATCAAGGGAATCTGAATTCTGATGATGATGACGGAGGAGGCGGTAGTGAGCCAGGCGAAGTCCCCGCATTGTGTGTGGAGACCGACACACAGCCACGTGCGGCTTCCCGCTGCCGTGCGAGCCTCGCGTTCGGCGTTCCCTGCAGGTCCTGGCTGGACCTACCCTTTGGCCTGCGTACCAGAGGACCGGGAGCAAAGGGAAGGAGGCAACGAGGGCTGCTTTGGGTGGATTGCTACATTCACTGCTTCCCTACTGCCAGTCAGATGCCCAATAGAGCGTTTGCGGCCACGATACTGAGCAAAAGACATGCAAGAGCTTGGGTGAGAGCAACGATGACGGCCAGAAAGTGCCGACCTGAGAGTGGAGTGATGCTTTATTGCAGATCTCGGACGTATTGCTAAGCCCTGGGGGGCTGCAGAGGTCTACCAGTGGTCGAGAACGGTATCTGCTGCCCTCTTGTTGGCAAAGGACAACGTTGCCTGGTCGTTGGGGCCTTATTTGCTGCCCTGAATCGGTGCGATGAACGTGACGGAAGCCCATCGGGATCGAGGGGCCTAGTGCACCTCACTTGGAGCAGGATGGACCGGCAAACCCATGGAAGAGGGCTACGTGCTGAGTATCACCGGAGAGCAAAAGCGACGCAGGCAGGCGTGTACTGCCTTGTGGTGATGACAAGGCAAGGCGGAGTGTCGGTGTGTCGTCGGCGTGTAGATGTGAGCGGGAGTCGAGCAGGGCGAGGGCCAGACGCAAGCGGACCAACAGGGCGTCGGAAGCGGGACAGATACACACACACGCCGCCATGGCACCCCTTTGTCTTCGTCACGCATGCTCACATCAGACCCTAGCAACCAAGGCATTCCTCTCCTGAAGCATCATCATTACATCCTCTGTGCCCTACTGTACCATCTTTCTGCAACTCTGCCATCATTCGAGGCGAAGAGAAAGAAAAAGGGACGTCTTTGCTCTCACCACGTTGATTATCACCTCTTCGGACCTTGGCCCTTCCAACAAGGCGTTCTCAGGCACCGATCAGAGCACATCTCTCCCCCTGGATCGCCGACGTCTCTTCTGCGCCTCCTTGCCGTGACGAAGGACCAAGCGCCCAAAGCAAAGGCTTCCTATCCGCCTCCCTACTTAACCACCCACACGGCAGCCCTCTTTCCCTGCCACACCCTCATCACCTGAAAGCCCTCTCCACCTTGAAGCGGTCTACGCTCGGTCTCCTCCGCCAGCAGACCAGCCATTGGAATCGGACAGGACTTGCACAAGGTAGCAAAAGCTGAAATATCACTCGCTGTCCACGTTACATAGCTCTCAATAGGGACAACATCAGCAGCCAAGACTCCCTTGACCCCATCACCATTGTCCACATAAACCCAAGATGACTTCAGCAGCTGCCCAGCAGCAAGCGCTGCAGAGCGCCTCGTTCAACGTGGGATCGACGTACAAAGTAGTGGATGTGATTGGAGAAGGAGCATACGGAGTGGTCTGGTAAGTCTCGAGGGCATAGCAGACACTTCACATAGGCCTGTACAAGACCGTCAGTCAGGCTAATACTCCATGCTAACTTTGCATCGTTGTGACGCCCCTGCCCTTCGTCGAACAGCTCTGCCGTACACTTGCCATCACAAACTCGGGTGGCCATCAAGCGGATCACGCCATTTGATCACTCCATGTTCTGCCTGAGGACACTGAGAGAGATCAAGCTCCTCAGGCACTTCAATCACGAAAACATCATCTCTATCCTAGACATCGTCCGCCCTGCCAACGTCGAATCGTTTCAGGAAGTGTACCTCATTCAGGTCAGTCGAAGTAACGAGTGCTGAGCGTTCGAAGGAAGCAGCGATCTGACTGTCTGACTGCTCCTCAACCTCACAGGAATTAATGGAGACGGATATGCATAGAGTCATTCGAACCCAAGAGCTCTCGGACGATCACTGCCAATACTTCATCTACCAGACACTTCGAGGTCTCAAGGCACTTCATTCCGCACAAGTGCTACACCGAGATCTCAAGCCCTCGAATCTGCTACTCAATGCCAACTGCGATCTCAAGATTTGCGACTTTGGTCTGGCAAGGAGTGCAAATCAACCCGAAGCCGAGGGTACAGGATTCATGACCGAATATGTTGCTACGAGGTGGTATAGGGCACCTGAGATCATGTTGACGTGAGTGGAGCTGTCAGCAGCGCCTTTGGCCGGTGTGGCAGAAGGCTGACCCTACCCGCCCCCTTTTCCGGTCTCTCATTACAGTTTCAAGGAATACACAAAGGCTATTGACGTTTGGTCGGTGGGCTGCATTCTGGCAGAGATGCTTTCGGGGAAGCCCCTCTTCCCCGGACGGGACTGTGAGTGGACCAAGAGATGTCTCTGATTGCATTCGACTGCGTACTGAAATATGCGACTACCACTTTCTCCTACTATAGACCATCATCAGCTCTCACTGACCCTCGAGATCCTGGGTACACCCTCCCTCGACGACTTCTACGCCATCTCCTCTACACGGTCCCGCGACTACATCCGTGCCCTGCCCTTCAGGAAACGTCGCAACTTCTCTCAGATGTTCCCCAACGCCAATCCCTTGGCAGTGGACCTGATGGAGCGTTGTCTCACCTTTTCGCCAAAGAAGAGGATCACAGTCGATGAGGCCCTCGCCCACCCTTACCTCGAGCCTTACCACGATGCAGACGATGAGCCCACTGCCGAGCCTCTGGACCCGTCATTCTTCGCATTCGACTATGCAAAGGAGCAGCTCTCCAGGTCGCAACTCAAGGAGCTCATCTTCGTAGAGTGCACCCGATGAGAGTGCAGATGGAAATGCAAGTGGCTCGCCTCCAAGCATAGCAGGTAAAGGGTACATCCTCTCAGATGTTGCCGAGCAAGTGGCAGATGGCAAGCAGGCTCGCAATCTGGACCACTCAGCTCGCGAATGACATACTTCGCTCGACCTGACGAGCCAAAAGTCGCATGGTCGTCCCACCAACCTGCCCTGATAAGTATCAGCGGTCATCCCGGGCGCCGATTCGTAGCGAGTGCCTACCTCAATAGGAAGCCCTTCCTACGCAGACTCATATTCACACTCATATTCATACTCATACTCATATATACCTTTGTCCCCCCGCCTCCCTGGTTTCCTATCGGTCTTTCCCTTCTTCGTGTCCCTTCACCCCCCCCAATTCCGAAAGTTGTATCCGAGTGTCAAAGTCATTCCAAGTCATTCCAAGTCCAGTCGCCGAGTCATTCTTCTCTCATTGTTGTTCTCCCCCAATTTCTACATCACCATCATATGAAATCTCACCATTGGTTGTACATGCCCCTCGGCTGAGCTAGGAGAGAGTATGTATGTGTGGATGTGCATTCCAAGTTTTTATTGGTAGGTGACATTTGACTGCCTTTCCTCGAACGAACAATATTGAGCGACTACTCTCCGCCTGCCTTAGTTCCCAAACCCACTTCACCTCTTTACTGCACTGGAATCTCTCAAGCCCTGCTCTCGCTGCGCAGAGGCCCAGCCATCTAAAGCTTCGAGTTGATAATGTCGACGAACTCTGGCTTGAGGGAAGCGCCTCCTACGAGGAAACCCAGGATGGAGGGCTTGCTAGCCAGCTCCTTGCAGTTCTTTCCTGCTACTGAGCCACCGTAGATGACACGGAGCTTGTCGGTTGCGCCCTGGCCCAGGTTCTTCACTGCCCAGTCGTAGATGGCGGCGTGGACCTCTTCGGCCTGTAAGTGAGGGAGAGGGGAGCCAAAGGGTGAAAGGTGTCAGTAGCCGCAGAAGCGCAAAGGTCTACTGCCCCAATTACTGTACTCACCTGCTCGGGTGTAGCGACCTTTCCGGTACCAATGGCCCAGACGGGCTCGTAGGCAATGACAATCTTGGTCCAGTCGTCTACCTCCTTCTTGACAGCATCAAGCTGTCGCACGACGACATTGATGCTCTCGTTCTTCTCCCTCTGCTCAAGAGTCTCACCAACACAGAGAATGACGGAAATGTCGTGCTTGAGAGCAGCCTTGGTCTTCTCGGCGACGTTGGCGTCCGTCTCACCGAAGAGGGTTCGACGCTCCGAGTGGCCGATGATCACCCAGGGGATGTTGGCATCCTGCAGCTGCGAGACGGAAACTTCTCCAGTGAAGGCGCCAGAGACTTGGTGGTAGGCATTCTGGCCAGCCACTTGGATCTGAGTGCCCTTGAGAGCCTCTTGCACGGGGAGCAGGTGGAGAGCGGGGGGAGCGACGACGACCTCTGTGGGAGTCGA